GAAGAACCACTGGTCTAGGGGATCCGTCTTCCACCAGAACTACAATCCCAGCATTCCTGGTGCTCCCCGTGCTCTTTGTTTTCCCTTCCTGCTCTTTGTCCCATGGCCTCCCACTCTACCAAGTCCTCCAAGCCACCAGCTCTCCCTCTCTGCTCTCTGTCTGGTGGCTTGGGGAGCCAAGTTCCCCAAGCTGCTCCACTCTCCGCCGGCTCTCCCACTCTGCTCTCCACCGGCAGTTTGGGGGGAGCGACCAAGGGAGCCACGTCCCCCCAAGCTGCCAGCTCTCCTGCTCTGCTCTCCGCCTGGTGCCTGTGCATGCAAATTAACCTGCCACCTTTGTCAGGTTAATTTGCATACTCACTCCTGATTGGCTGGTGAGCGTAGTGGAGGGACAGTCAATTTACATGCTTCTCTTTTATTATATAAGATATTTAATGGTAACATCTTACTATATCATAACATATTTGGTAAATTTCTTGTTTCAGGGTATTTCATTGCTTCCAATATTTTGTTCTAAACAATGTTGCAATGAAAATGCTAATAGGTAAATAACTGTACATATCCATGTTTATTTCTGTAAGATAAATATCTCAAGGTGGGATTTTGTTTTTTAATCTTCACCTGCAGATGTTTTTCTATTGATTTTTAGAAAGAGTGGAAAGGAGGACAAGAGACAGAGAGAGGGAAACATTGATGTGAGAGAGACACATTGATTGGCTTCCACCAGCATGTGCCCTGACCAGGGCCTGGAATCAAGTATTTTCTTAGAATTGTTGGTATTTCTATAGTGTCACTTATCAATTCTCTCTTTGATATCTGATTTCATTTAATTGGGTCCTCTCTGGTTGTCTATGGAGAGGGAGGCCAGGAGTGCAGCTTGGGTTAGAGCTAGATCTATTACTTTTATTAAAAAGGCAGATTTTTAGTAATTACGGCAAAATTTTAACATCTGTTCCATCTGAGCTTAAGTATATGGACATCAGTTAAAATTGCTCTTGTACTTTTTGGTATTTTTTGTTTTAAATTATTCATAATATAAAAATTGTAAAATCAGATAGTAAAAATAATAAATAAAATAAAGATAACAAAATCGGTTTTGAACAGGAGAAAATTTATTTTCAGTACCTCAATCTTAATCAAAATAGTTAATATTATTTGGGCAGAATAATGTACTGAAATATCAAATTATGTTTATTCTCTCCTCCCCACCCCCAATCAATAAAGGTAATAACTATCTTTTATGTTAGGAACTCTGGCAGCACAGAAAGCAAAACCAGTCTGGAATCTGTGGGCCTTCTGAGTTTGGATAGAAGCACAGACCTTCTTAGGGCTTACTTAGGCTGGATATCTTGGGAACGGGGCAGCACGAGAAGAGGCCTCTGGGAAGCCACAAATGAGAGAGACCAAGAGAAGGGAGAGATTATCACAATGGGGAAGGAGGGAACTCACTTAATGACAGCAAGGAGACTGCTACCCCAGGGGTGGCAGAGACGAGGCACAGACAAAGTGTAGAAGAACCTCTATGAGAGAAATCCACTTGATGACAGGATTGATAACTAAGAATAGGAGAATTTCCTCCATGCTTTTCTCTGTTTAAGATCCCAGGATAACAGAGGCTAAGAGGCTAATTGCAGGTGCCTGAGAAAAATTTGACAGCACTCAAGCAGGATGAGGCATCAAAGTCAAAATAAAGTTGCTTTAAAGAACTCGGAGAAATGTGATATTTCCTTCATTCCTGATTTTTATGGAAAAAAGCCTTGATAGTGTTTCTCCGAAGAAATGCTAGGGTCAGAGGTTCTGGAGCATGTCACTATCTCCAGTGAGGAAAGCAGCAGTGCCACCAGTGTCCTATATACTCCTCTCTTCTTCACAAACTCTTCTCTCATCTCTCACCATAACCCTCCTTTTATCCTATTACATCCTATTTTCAGCTTTCCATTACAAGTTTAAAGATCACAAGGTCACAGGAATAAATCACTACGTGAAGAAAGAAGCAGCTAAGAAACATAAATTAATTGAAGTTTTCTTTCTATTTAAAGAAAAACTGGAAATATTTTTTTTTATTTATAATATCTCCAGCAATGTAGTTTTCAACCACAATTAACAAGAGGGAGCTGTATCACTGACTTTGCAAGAAGCAATCATGCATATTCCATATCAACCTGTTCTTTCTTTATCAGACTTTCTTTAGTTAAAATGTCTACTGAGTCTGTCATCCTATCTAATAAAAGAGAAACATGGTAATTAGCATACGACCGCTACCCTTCCCATTGGCTAATCAGGGCAATATGCAAATTAACTTCCAGCCAAGATGGCGGCCGGCAGCCAGGCAGCTTGAAACTAACATGAGGCTTGCTTGCTTCAGTGACAGAGGACTCC